CACAAACTAAAGTGAAAATAGGATGAAATGCACTTACTGGATGAACATACATAAAAATATGTGAATATAATCTTTGTTAAGAAGTTTAATTACAAGTATAACAAATACCAACTAAACTTAAGAAAATAAAATGGAAAGAAAGAATAAAAAGTCCAGGAAGAAAACAACAAAAAGAAAAGAAAGAATATAATAAAAAAAAAAACCAAGAGAAATATATAAAGAAGTGACTTACAACTTTCATCACTATTATAAATCATCACCCCCTATAAGATTAGAAACCATATCTCTTCCTTCCAAATCCCATCCCTTATCTATAAATAAATCCATAAAACATCAATTTTAAATATCTGAATGCAAATGTCACTAGTTTATTAATCCCGCCAAGGATAGCAGAGTTTGTGGGAATGGGAAAAGAATTCCAGTGACTTTCATATGTACCTCAAAGGGAAACATTTAAAGTAAATAAAAGAAATCTGGAATTGAACAACACAAGACAGAATTAGAAAGTAAATTATGTGCAAATGATAAGTATGTACAGGTAGTCCTTGATTCACGACCCATTGCTTAGCAACCCTTGGAAGTTACAGCAGCCCCCCCCCAAAAAAAAACCTATTTATGATCTGGTCCTGAAGTTGGGCCAATGCAGCACTCACTCAGTTGTCTGCTCTTATAACCAACCGCAGAGGTGCTGCAGGGATACCTCTTTCCAGAGCTGAGAACTGTTTAGTGTTGCTGAACACTTCAGATTCTTGCTCCGTCTAATCCAGGGATCTTCAAACTTTTCAGTCTGAAGGCCACATTGGACGTTTTGCAAACATTCAAGGGCCGGGAGAAAAAATCAATTTTATAAACGAGCGAATAAAATTTAATTGAATGAACGTGTTTTATTTTGTTGAATGTGATATGACACAACAACAGAAAAAAATGTGACAAAGAAACAATACCGTATACATATCATATATGTACAATTTTGCATACATACATACATACATGTATGTATGTATATTATGATATAAGAAAATGTCAAACATTAGCAAACATAAAAACAGAGAGAAGCTATGTGGATCAGGCCCAACCAGCCCAGGTCACTCCTCCGCCCCCAGCCCCCCAGTAGGCAAAGGAAACAATCTTCCAGCTGGCTTCCTTAGCTGCCAGCCCTTAGCCAGTTTGGATGGGGTTTTCTTTCCGTGGGGGAGAAACGATTCAAGGGAGTTCCTTGAATCACCCCCTCTCTGGCAAAGAAAGCAACCCTCCAGCTGGCTCAGAGCTGGTGCAGATTTTAAAGGTGAAGAAGCTTCCCCTTCCTTGTGCAGCATCCCTCCACTGGCTCACAAGCCCCCCTCCCCCAACCCTCATTGCAGAAATCAAGGGAATGGAATCCTAGCTTCCTTTCCAAACAGTGGATGGATAAAATCCTGCTTTCTCTCCCTGTGCTGTTTGGAAAGGATCAGAGCACAGCACATGGGAGGGGCTGGCAGGCTAGAAGGAAGTTTCTGGAAGGCCGGTTATAGCCTGCGGGCCAGAGTTTGGAGACCCCTGATCTAACCCAAGTCTGAGATCTACAAGGTTTGGGACAGAGGGATGTGTGTGTATGTGTGCAAACGTGCATGTTGTAAGCAAAGTTACAGTTCACCCAAAACTTTATCAAAGACTTCTGTGCCCCTGTGTGCAAAGTAATGTTTTATTTATGCTATAACATCTTTTATCTCATTATGTCTACCCCTTTCCTGCTCTATTGTTCACCTGCTTTTTATAAACTGCCATCTTCTTAATGTCATGGCAGTTATTGTTTTTTTTAAAAGAGTACTATGAAAAAGGCCAGGCTGAAATTACATAATTACATTTCGGTAGCGTTCCTATACAAAGGATGATAAATTCAAAGAAAGAATGAATAAATTGCAGTAGGAAGATGAATTATTTTAGTTTCTCAAAAGAGTCAAATGTGCCTTTCTCTCACACCCCACATCTTACAACATGGCTTAAAGTATCACCAGTTAAATAGAAAGGAAAAATATACTTGAAAAGTACAAAGTGGGTGAGGGAGCACTAGGGACACACTGAATGGTGAAGGCCATGCATTCCGCCTGTAGGCCGAAATACCAAAATACTGTACGTTTTAGGTACCTTTAAAAATGGGTTGATTTGACTAGAATCACACAGATTCAACCAAATGGAGATTTGATTGTTCTTGTAGTTCTTTTTAGCTTCTTCTTATCTTGACACTTTTTCTAGTCTAGTGTCTACATTTAGCTAAGGACTTTCTGTGGAGTCCTTGGTTGTTTGCTTGCAGATGACTAAGTAAACATAATCAGTGCTAGTGTCTGTGAGGGGGGGGGATTAGCTCCCTGTCCTCAGCTTACAACCACAATTTCTGTTGTTAAGTGAGACATTTGCTGAGTGAGTTTTGCCCCATTTTATGAGTTTTCTTGCTGCAGTTAAGTGAATAGCTGCAGTTGATAAATTAGTAACCTGGTTGTTAAGTGAATCTGGCTTCCCCATTGACTTTGCTTGTCAGAAGGTTGCAAAAGGGGATCAGATGACCTTGGGACAAAGCAATGGTCATAAGCATGAATCAGTTGCCAAGCATCTGAATTTTGATCACATGATCATGGTAATGCTGTAAAGGTCGTAACTGTGAAAAATGGTCATAAGTCATTTTTTTCAGTGCCATTGTAACTTTGAATGCTCACTAAATGAACTGTTGTAAGTTGAGGACTACCTGTATAATATAGTAGCTTGCCTTGCCAGTGTCAGTAAGAGTGTGGCTTTCTCCTTGGCAGTGCCTGAATTAGGGTTTTGATTTCTGTTTGATTGTCTTCTGTTAATCTCTGCTTATTTGGGTATCAGTTGCTGGAAAAGATGTATTCTGGTCATTTCATTTCTTAGCTTTTTTATTGCCTCATTTGAATGATTTGCAAATGTGGTTTATCTCTATGTGTCTGTTGATGACTGATTTGTCTGAATGCCAAGTTTCTAGAAATTTCCTATCATTTGGGGGTTTAGCTTGGTCTAGGATGCTCAGTTTTCAAGTTGAAACTATAATTAATTCTGTCCAGGTATTGTGAGATTAAACAGCTTTCAATCCTGACTGCTATTTGATGTTCATGGTTGCATTCTGCCAGTTTTCTGCCTGTCTGTCCTAGATAGTGATTGTTACAGTCATTACACTGTATTTTGTAAGTGACTCTCTTCTTGAGCTACTGGATCTTTTGATTTACTTAAGATGTTTTGGAAGGCTTTAGTTGGTTTATCACACTGTGTGACAGTAATCGTCTGTTGATAGTTGCTGATGCATGGCAGTGTTATCCCTTTCATACTAGCGTTGGTTGTGCTATGGTGAGTTGAGTGATCAGGTACTTTTTGATAAATTTGCTTGGTTATCCAGTTTGTTGGAAGCAACAGAAACTTTCTGCGATAGAATCTGGGCAGGCTTCAGTATTACCAAGCCTTATATATGCATAGTTCAAGGTTAGAAAATATACTTCTTGTTGTTCCAACCACTTATCCTAATTGAAAATGTTTAATAAAGTCTATCATATAACTTGCTTTATTTCTGTGAAAGATTTACTTGACTTGTACAGAAACTTATTTGTAAAAATAATAAAGGAAGGCTACAAATAAATAAAATAAATAAAAAAACAGAACAAAGCTTTCTTTTAGTTATTGCTTGCTGGATGGTAGACTACCGGCCAAATCATCATAGGGTTAGAAGTTGTCAGTTGGGTAGCAAATCCCATTCCTAACCCTGGAAAGAATTAAATCATTCAACTTTAGTAATCAGAGGATATCCAGGCAGAAGCAATTACGGACCAGTTTTGTCTGAACCTAGAGACCTAGGCAAATATAGATTCTACAGTATGTGGAAATGGACAGTAGAGCAGAATTTTGAGGGCAGTGATCAGCCAGAAGACTGAAAGTCTGATTACATCCAGGGCAATTTCTTATATTGGAGCTCAAAAGCTAGCATATTTATGTTAATGTAGAAGATGATGCTAAATGGTTTAATATATAAAAAATGCAAAAATCTAAATAAATAATGGTCCAAAATTGGCGTGGCCAGATAATTTCCATTCCTACTCTGCATTCTGACATTCAGACATTTCTTCTGAGGATCAAATGAGAAAAGGCTTATTTCTTATACCATGTTGAGATTCCAGAGGAAAGGCAGGATGTAAATGTAATGCAAATCCAAATTCTATCTGAACACTAGACACATTGGGAAAGGAAAGGAGACACAACAGTTTTTTGCGATTTTGAGCAAAACATAAGCTTCACATTGATAAAGGTTTATAGAGCAGCATTCCCAGCCTATAACCCTCTGTCTAGATGTGTTGAATGTCAATTCCCAATTTCTTCAATCATCATGGCTGACTAGAGGCATTCTGAAAATTGAAGTCAATTCATCTGAAAGGAAACAAGCAGAAAGTTGGTTTATAATTGAGTTTCCAGTCACCCCAGTGGATCAGATCTCTTATTCTTGTATATCCTCTTTATTTCTCTGGATGCATGAGAAAATAAGACTAATAAGCTTGCAAGGAATCAGAAAAATGTGACTTTGCATTAATTTGGGTTCTTTGGGCACTAAATTCAATTTTCCCTCTGCATGAATATCTATCTGCTCATGCAAGTGCACATACTGAAAAATACCTGCCTTGCCAACATGTATAGTATTTTTTCTACAGGCCTGCAGCTTTGAACAAAATCCTGATCGAATGGCTGGAAGATGTTCACAAAAATGCTTCGCTGCAAACAACTGCCAAGCTTTGAAAACAACTTCAGCCCCCATATTGGCTGAACCATTAGCCAATTCATTTACGGAAGGAGGAAAGAATTCATAAGATAATTGGTTATGGAGCTCTCATGGTGCTTTGGGAATTAAAATAGAGAATTTTTAGTTGATGTTTGAAAAATTCAATGCGTTAGAAGGGATGGACTTTAAAAAAATAGCCTAAACAGAATGCTGAAAATGTAACTATGCTGAGATTATGCTATCCTTTGATCTTTATATTTTTGATTATTTTGATGTAAGAAAATTCTTAATGGCCAAAGTATTCACACCTCGTTTGGATCATGATTTATTTAAGCAGAGTTTACTGAATGAATCACAATTGGATGGGCTTATATAGCATATTATTATGTCCAAACCAAACAGTACTGCTCTTTAACACAATTTAAGACCTGAAGTGGCACAGTGGTTAGAAAGTAGTATTGCAGGCTAATTCTGCTGACTGTGAGGGGTTCGATCCTCACCAGCAAAAGGTTGACTCAGCCTTCCATCCTTCCAAGCTCAGTAAAATGAGAATCCAGATTGTTGGGGGCAATATGCTGACTCTGTAAAACTGTTGCTAATTTGTGATCAAGTTATAGTTTCCCTAACATATTGGAACCACGTTTTAGTAATAATTTGTGGGAAGCTTCTCGGTTCAGATGAATCAGAAAGTGATTTAACAAATTCAGGATGCATCTTCTGAAGCAGGCACAAGCCAGGACAAAAACGTTTGATTAATGCTGTGATTGAGAATGGGGTTGCTCTCCAGATGTTGATATCAATTCTATTATGAAACACTGTTTTTGGCTGTGGCAGATGGGAGTTGTGCTTCAGAAACCTCTGGAGAGTCATAATTCTGATTTGCCACCTGTACTGAACTCAGGTTTCTAATTGTGGTATTTAGTTTATTTTCATGATTATGAAATTTCAATTGTATATGTTTTGCAACATATGGGTTCATTTGGGTTCATTTTTGGAAAGATACTATTGATCAGGGTTTTTCAAATTGGTTCCACTGGAACCCTAGGATTGCACAAGAAACTGAAGAGGTTCTCCTCACAAGAAAGTGAGAAGAAAAATTCATTCAAACTTGGCTAAATTTCTACCACTGGAATTTCTGGGATTATTTTTTTGCCTTTAACTAACAAATTTTGGCTGAAAAAGCTTGAAGATGCCATATGTCTACTAGTCTTTCACGCGGCTGTATTTTTTCCTGGGATCACAGGGAGAAAAGATGGCTCCATCAAAGAGCTGCAGATTCATTTGCACATCTGCATATTCCAACACAGACCTCCTTTTGTGAATTGAACCTGAAGCACTACATGTATGTGTTGTGTAATTATGTTGAGCAAGCATTTAGAGCAGGGCTCCCCAATCTCCGGTTGGGGGACTGGCACCAGTCTGTAGCATGCCAGAAACTGGGCCGCAAAAACAAGCGAAGCCCCATCCACGGAATACAGGCAGCACACGAAACCACGCCCCTTCCGCAGAAAAATCTCTCTCCACGAAAACAGTCTCTGGTGCCCAAGAGGTTGGGGGCCGCTGACTTAAGAGAACATGAAGCCCTTCTGAATTTTTTGTACAAAGTAGAAGGACATGAAACATAAACTAAAGTATTTCTTCGCTTACTTTGCAAAAGGCATGGATGTTGCTTCTTTCACCTCAGGTTTGTTTGTTTTTTTCAGCAGGGATTTTAAATAGAAGGATTTGGTTCTGAAACCAGAAATTTTTCTGCATATTGGTATGCTTTGGTACTGCTGAGAAAATAATTAGTTTCTTAAGAAGCACAGCTTCTGTTTCTTTTTCTTTAAACAAAGCAGCCTTTAAGGTGCTGTTTCTCAACCTCAGCAATTTTAAGAAGAGTGGAATTCTGGGAATTGAAGTCCACCCATCTTAAAATGAATGATGAGAATGGTTGGAGACTCTCTTCAGTCTCTTATTGGTTTTGGATGATGCTTAAGCTAATATCTTCCACCCAGGGTTTGAGGAATTGCTGAGGAATGTGTCTTTTATACTCAATTCACAAAGATCTCTGCAATAGGTTGAGTTTTATGGATGATTAGAGCAGTATTTCTTAACCTTGGCAACTTTAAGATGGGTGGATTTTAACTCCCAGATTTCATACTGTCTGAGGAATTCTGGAAATGAAGTCCACACTGCTTTAAGGCAGAGGTCCCCAACCTTTTGGGCACCAGGGACCGGTTCTGTGGAGAAAGTTTTTTCCACAGGCCAGAGGGGGGATGGTTTTGTGTGCTGCCTGCATCCCGCGGATGGGGCTTTGCTTGTTTGTGCGGACCGGTTGCTGGCATGCCATGGACCGGTACTGGTCCACAGACCGGGGCTTGGGGAGCCCTGCTTTAAGGCAATTACAACCTGGCTTGGAATTCTGGGAGTTGCGACAAAGATAACAGAATATTTGAGATCTTTTTTACATACCAATATGTGCCTTGTTACAGGATAAAGCCTCTTGTCTTCACTGAGTATTGCTCTAAGGCGCCACTAGAAAATGCCTGGTTAGCACTTGAATGGCACATTCTTGGGTATGCAATTATGTGTTATTACTTGTAGAATACCAATCAATAGAATAAAGTTTTGGAAACAGTATTCTTGGGATCTTGAATAAAGTTTGCTGTAGAGAGAAATGGATCTACAAGACATTCATTCCTAGAGGCGGTTCCAGGGATTTACTGGTGACTTAAGAACATAATATTTGAATGTCTTGGTTTGCTTCAGTGTCTAGTTTCTTATGTCCTGTGGTGCAAAGCCATAATGATGGTTCTTTACTTTTGACTTAACTTATGTCCTTCAAACTATATGGGATCAAAAGCAAAGCTTTTGAATTAAGTATTCCTTCTGCAATCAGAGTTCTTTTCCCTTGTCTGTAGCAATCTGTTGTCTTTCTGCTACAGTACTTATTATGCAAGATGCTTAAATCATAAAGTAAGCAATGGACCAAGAAGCTACCAGAGTTGACACTAAATTATATTTTATTTCAGCAAAGGATCACAACTAATATAGTGTGAAAAGATTCAGGGTAAAATACAAACTTTAAAAATTGAGCTGGAGTTCATATGTTGGTAGGTCTATGTTTTGGCTCTTATCCGGCTACCAATTCAAACAGGTGAAGGGCGCACAGGTTAAAGGCCCATTCCACAGTAATCTGGAAGTATTGTATATGGTGGACAATCTTTTCACATGTTATCATTCAAAGGGAGTATGCTATGCACTTTGGGATGAACACCCTTCAAATGGTCAGAAAACATTGCAGACTACAGGAACCATTTGCGCTTCAGTTTGAGATGCAGACAACACAGACTCATCCCCAACAGCCTGCACCTGTCTTCAACAGTGAAGGGATACAGGACAAAACATCCTGCAGTCAAGAAGGTTCCACATACATTTGTACTACTCAGGTGACCCTGAGGACACAAAAAACCTCCAAATAGCCTCAGTGACTCTCTAAAAGAATGCAAATGACCAGTTGTCTGCAAGGAATATAAATCCTTCCATTCCCTACCATCCAGTCAGAGCTGAAGAAGTTTCTTGAATGAGAAGTGAAATGTCTTCAAACAAAAACAAAGTCCAATTGCCTCCTGAAAAAAACACCTTTGGGACAACCATGACCTGGATGACTGAGACATAAATAATGCCTGATTGCAATCTGCAAATTGTGGCATTGTAAAGGGGAATTTATTCAGGATGCTATTACAGTATTTAATAGATCAGCTTATAAAATCCATCTTGAGATATTAACTCCAATAGGATCAGACAAAAGCATACCTTGAAATTGCCAGATAAATAGTTATCTTTTCAATCTTGATCCACAAGTTGTGACAAATCACAAGTGTAAATATTACCAATATTGAACACCAAATGTGAAAGGGAATGGATTTGTTCAATGTATTCCCTTCCTCTTTAGTGTATATTTAATACAGGTACATCAGTGTTTTAAATTCAGTCACATTCCTTTTCATTTTGATTGATATTTGTTTTTATTATATTCACAGTACTAAGCAAAACATCAAAAAAAAAGCCCCAGACCAAGCCCAAGCCTTGAGCTTTAATAAATAGATATACTCTTATTTATTTTGTCTTAAGGTCACTGAACTGTCAGAACTTCTTTTTGTAAAGTAATGAATTCTCTTTTTTTTTAGAAACGGGTGATCTGTGACCCTCTAAGCATTGCTAAATTGCAATTTCTAGCAAGTCCAGTTACCCAGACCTATACTAAGAGATTCCCAGAACTGTATCTCAATAACAAGGTATTCATTTCTGTAGAGGTACAAACACTAACTTCCTCTATTCCAATAAAAATCAGCAAAAGATACACAAACATCTGTATCAGGTAGTGGAAGGCTTCTGGTCCTACAGAAAATAGCTTCAGATTCACACAGGAAGATAATTCCAAGCACCAGTGTTACTAAGTCCTAGCTTTCTGATAAAGTTAAGCAAGCAGAAGCCAAGACTTGTACAATGAAAGATATCCAACATTGATTGATGTGGATTCAAACATTCTTAGTTCACTTCCATTGTGGGTCTGAAGCCACATCTTGCAATGCTTGAAACCTTGAGACTATGTGGGCCAAACAGGAAGAAAACTACCAGTCTAAATACCTCCTGGCTATCCAAAGACACGACCCACTATCCCTCGTGTCTGTCCACGAAGACTCAGAAGGACACAAGTTTGATTTAACTGGGACCATAGTTGTAACCCAAGCAAAATCAAGGGGAGAAAAAGAATTCCTCAAAGCCTGGTTTTCCACCAATAAGTCAATAAACAGACACATTGACATCAACCCAATCTACTAACCACTGAGAACGAAAGAACTACTTCAATCCTGAAGGCAGCATTTAAAATGAACAGGCACCCCACCACACAGCAACAAAAATCACAACCCCCCACAAGAAACCGGACCATGTCTCAACAACAACAGCTAGACTTCTGGTTTTGCGCCTGTAGCGCATGGCCGCGTGAGAGCAGATCTGTTTCCCATGGCTAGTTTCGTCCTGCCAGGGGGACCCTAGATGGGTCCGAAGTCGCCCTGAAGAGGTAACCGTTAAGGAGGGGTGCCCCGTTGATCACGAAGCGATGGCAATCACTTTGTTTGATCTGGGGAAAGCCCTCCAAACCCGACAGGAGAAAGGCTAGCGTGAGATCAGCATCTAGCCCAAGCTACTTGTAGCCGAAGTCCCAGAGCACGAACCTGAACATCGGTAAACTGCGTGCTTGGAATTGATGAGAGTATTGATCTTCTTTCTTCTATTTATTAATTGAATCCTTGAGAACAATCCCCAAAGCAAGAAAACCTCTGGAAGTGAAGGGAGGGGACTATATCCGCATTCCCTCATAGACGGAAGCGGCGAATTAATATTGAGGAAAGAAATATATTAAAATTTGATTTAAAATACTACAGCCTGGACAAATCTA